CCTTTTTTTCCTCCTTCTTCCTCCCTCCCTCCCTTCTTTCTTCCTTCCTCCCTCCCCCCTTGCTTCCAAGAATGTATTTTTTTAATATATTTTTATTGATTTCAGAGAGGAAGGGAGAGGGACAGAGAGAAACATCAATGATGAGAGAGAAAATCATCAATTGGCTGCTTCCTGCACGTCCCCTACTAGGGATCGAGCCCACAACCCCTGGCCATGTGCCCTGGACCGGAATCAAACCCGGGCCCCTTCAGTTCGCAGGCCGATGCTCTATCCACTGAGCCAAACCAGCTAGGGCTCCAAGAACGTATTGAACACCTATGACAAGCATATTCTAAAAGCTGAGACTGCATCAATGAGCATTCCCTACTCCTGGGAAACTTTCATTAGGACAACAGATAGACAATAAATGGAAGAACTAGGTGTGCCCTATGGCAGGTTAGGTGATGAGAGCTATGGAATGAAACAGCACAGGCCACGGAGCTGAGCTGCAGGAGGGGGAGGGGCTGCCCAGACTTCAGGGAGGGGAGGGAGGAGACCTGACCCCTGGGATGAGGGTGTTCAGGCACAGGGCACAGCCAGCGCAAAGGCCCTGTGGCAGGAGCTGGGCAGGTTTGAGGATCCCAGGGAGGGCATGAGCAAGGGGCAGGAGGTGATGAGGCCACCTCACAGGGGGCAGAGGGCCACGGCAGGGTCTTGGCTTTGACTCTGAGGGGAATGGGAGGGAGGCACCCCTGGCTGCTGTGTGAAGAGGCCTAGGTGGGGGTGAGGCCGGAAGTGGGGACTCCACCAGGGGGGTCTCTGCAGTGACCTAGGTGAGAGACAGTGGGATTGGAGAGCCTGGGTATGGAGGAGGAACATTCTGGATACAATTTCAACCAAAGGAGCTGACTCCTAGGATGTGAGTGAAAGAGAGGCGTCAACACCAGCCCGGAGTTATTTGTGGCCTGGATGCTGGAGGGACAGAGCTGCCATCCACCGAGATGGGGGCCGTGGGGACACGGGTCCGAGTGATTGGAAGGCTCAGGCCATGGCCGGCAGTGCCAGGCCCGCACCCCCTCCCCCACTCCCCTGCAGGCCCTCCTCCCATTTCCCTGTCAATGACCAGACCTGATAGTGGTTCCTCTTCTTGGTGATGAAGAAATTCAGAGGGAGGAGGCTCAGGAAGACAGTGACGGCGGTGAGGGCAGAGGGTCCTAGAAGCTGGAGACAGAGGGAAGAGGTCACGAGATTCCTGCAGGAGCCCAGCTGTAGACTTGGAGGGACCTGGTCAGCACCGGCGGCTGGGGTTGGAGGCTCACACTTGGTTCTGAAGGCAGGGGGGTGGCAGGGGGTCTAGTGAGGGCAGCTAGCGGGTCATGGAGACCAGGATCATGGGACAGACACCTAGAAGGAGACACCTTGTACATGAGGGGGCAGAAAAGACGTACTGCACACAACGGGGGGGTGGGGGGGGCGCCTGGTCAGGATGGCGAAGTCAGACCTCTGGGATCAGGATTTGGGTTCGAATCCTGACTCTGACACTCACCAGTGTGGCCTTGGGCACGTGACTTACCCTCCCTAAGAAGCAGTTTCCTCATCTGTGAAATGGAAATAGAGCTGTGCCCACATCTAAGCTAAGTGCTGGAGTCATACAATCCATTATCACCCGAGTGTTCGTTTCACAAGGGTTGCCAGACTTAGCAAATAAACATAGAGGACACCTGCCCGGTGAAATGAGGATTTCAGATACATAGTGAATACGTTTTTAGTATAAGGTGGTCCCATGGAATATTTGGGGACATACTTATACTAAGAAAATATTTAGTGTATCTAAAATGTATATTTAACTGGACCCCTGTGTTTTGTC